AATGATTAAAAAAATAGAGCTGATTCTAACAAAGAGCGATATGAGTTAAAATTAGCTATTAAATCATCAGTTAATCAAAAAATATCATTAAACGTTAATTCTTTGATTGGTAAATTTGAACTTTCTGACAAAATTTTGCAACATTTTAAAATTCGGAAAACAGCACGGCATCGCCAAATATAATCACATTTACATAATTTTAACAGTCAGTTTACGTTGATTTTGCAGCTAATCTTTTTAATATTCAATAATTCTAAATAACCTGCATCTTTTGTATATTAGATATAAAGTGATGTTATTTACTTTGCAATTTTTGTATATTGCATATATATATGCAATATGCAATATTTATGTGTATGCATATACTGATGCATTTTCTACTTGGAGCAAGTAATTTCACTGGGTTTTTAAAACTACTTCCTCCATTAATACTTGAGGAAAATAAATTTGTAAAGTTTAAAATAAATGAAAAATGTTATTCAAAGTAAACTGTTAAACAAATAATGATGAAAATATCTTTTCGAAGCGCTGTTCTTACGGTAAATACCGCAGACGTTCTAGTGTGTTACATGCTTTTTATTCAATGTTTCACCAAACTTGATATTTATATTTTAATGTAACGGCATAAAATCTTTCGTATTTTACTTAATGATTGCTTGATAGTTATTTATACTTTACACAGAAGCAAACAGCTGTCATAATAGACATCTGTTTTCTACACAAACATTTTTTTGTATAATTGCAGTGTTTTATAATTCTCAGACTGGTGCTTTTATTTAGTTCAGAATAGATAGCTATTTGCAAAATATATTAATGCTTCCATTATTCATTCTTTCTATGTCAACTGTTCTATGCATTTAATCGCATTCAACGTATTGATCACTACATAAAACATATCGTTTCTAAAACAAACTTTCACGCCCGGTGAACGATAACAAGCGTTTATTAGGGGACAAAAAAATGTACTAGAAAACTACTACAGAAACATCATTTTGATGGAATATTAGAAAAAATAAAAAATAGCAACACCGTTATTCAATAAATAATCATTAATTAAAAAGGACGTACTGTGAGGTTTAGATGTAAAAAAAAATTAGTGTAACACGGAATTACATTATAAAGTTGCGCGCCTCCAACTTGCACGCAACCAAGAGGTGACTGTGAAAACTTGTATAAAAGATAGAAGCTTGTGAAGGGTTTAAGTCCCTTTTTATTCAACGTAATAAATTACAATTGCGTTCTCTTGACGCTTACAGACGGTGCCAACTTGGCAGTCAAATAAAAATAATAACCTGAAAAGAAAATAAAGACAAGATTCTAACTACGAGGCTCTCTAAAATAACTAACTCACCGCGTTTTACAATACCGCTGCTAATTCAGCAGACTTGAAGCTCACTGGAACGATGACCACTACTTCCCGCCAAGCACATAGGCCGCAACGCGGGGTTCTTCAATTCTCGCTAACTACCTCCGCGCTCGCTAAGTAAGAGAATCTCTCACACCGAACTTGTTTCCTTCTATTTAAATCAGAATACTTCCGCTGATAATTTGAATCCTTGCGCGTTCTACTCAAATTTACATATTCTGGCATTGGCAGTTCCAGGGGAAAGTAAGGCTTCCAGGAAAGATAGTTTAAACTTAAAATAAATGTTAGTTAAAATAAATATAAACCCTACATTTGCCGCTGCCAGAATTTGGAAAACTTGGAAGCAGGTCCTACAAACGACCTGTTGTAAGTTTATCTAATTCTGAACTAACAGGCGAGAACCTCGTTTACACACAAAAAAAAAAAAAAAAAAAAAAAATCTTATGTAACAATTATATATTAAAATTCTGTTACTCGTTACAAAGCTTTCTTCTTACAGCAACTTTTCCTGGACTTCATCAATCAATCTTGGTCATTCCTTCCAGCATCTGGAAGGAATAAGTATCAGTATCTTTCTACATACATTATAATTTACACTTTCTTGACACAATAAATTTTTGTTTTTAACGATTCGTTTTTCTTAGTTATTGCTTACTTCACATTCATTCAATTTTTCAAGCATTAATTTAACTTTACCCTGGCTCTCCACCGTGTGTGGTGTCAAACGGGAATATTCGTGTTTTAGTCTTACAACACTTCCCCTAACCACCATGATTTGTTAGAATTCAACAACCAAATAGACACACCTTACTCGACATTCTACAACTCAATGAGCTACTTTAATATTCTTAAAAATTCAAATGTAGGTGGAGAACCCTACAAAACACATTCATTCTAAATTCCCCCTCATTCATCTTTAAACATGCAGGCTTTCGCTCTAAAGCATGACTTTACAGTTTAATACTTAAATTTTGACTTCATTGCTTTTAAGCATTCACTTTTAGCATCTACAATTTTATGCTTCTAGATTAAATTCTACTTTTACATAACCTTCAAGTATTTACATACATTTACAAATTTTTAATACATATGCTTTTTACAATTTACCATAAAATGAATAAGAGAAAATAAATTTTTACTTTACTCATTCTTCGCCAAGCTGGCGGCACTGAAACTAAAATTCTTATTAATACAAGAATACGAAGTTATTTTTATCTTCGGCCAAATTTTGGCTTTAACATAACAGCATTAGTCTTTCGACCAACAGAAAATGCTTGTTTTTAGCTTTTACACTTAAAGAAAATAATACTTTTGCCTTAGCTAAATAAAGTAAAACAAAACTAAGTCTCAACCGAGACATATTGACTTTCGTCAAAACATAGAACTTCGTACTTATGCATAACATTTCGGAACAAAAGTGTTACATCTAAACTCCGAACTATCAGCGCCTCCACATCTAAACTCCGAACTATCAGCACCATTACATCTAAACTCGAGAATAATCTTACGTAAGAACGTAGTTAGAACTCTGAATCCGAACTCGATTGACTGTTAGCTGGAGAGCGCGTAATTTCATGTAATCTAATAATTGTATATAACTGTATCTAAATATAATATCTTTATTTATACAGAAGTGTCAGTTTTTATGCAAAAGCTTGGAATTGTTTAGATATTTCATCGAATAAGAATTAGAATGGAACAAGCTCGGCTCCCGGGTGAAAGAAAAGGTAAGAGATTTCTTTTTACCTTTTAGAATTCTATTGAGAGATACAACAAATTTTGGCATCCCTGCCGGGACGCCCGAGCTAAGAATAAGAATTTAAATTAGACAATAAAGATTAAGAATACAATTATTGATTACATTTTGAATTTTTGAACTGTTAAGAACATGTCTGAAGAGATCTTAAATAAATTAAAAAAGAAGCGCGCAGCTCTCCGAACATCAGTAACGAAATCGCTTAAAGATTTGGAATCGCAGCTTTCGGAAATTGATCCGAAAATTCATGATTTGGAAGAAAATTTAGAAATATTAAAGAATAATTTCGAATCGCTTAAAAGTGTCGATACAGAATTAGAACCTCTTTTTAAAGTCGAAGAATTTGATGCTGAATTCCAAAAATCTGAAGAATATCGCCAAAAGGTCGTTAAATGCAGTTTCCGTACCTCCAAAAGAATCGACGAATTAAAACGCAAATCTACTGAAACGGTAGTAAATAACCAGTTCAGTACTGATACAGTCAAAGCGAACCAAAACATAACGAGTCTGTTCGAATTAAATTACCTAAGTTAACTTTAACGAAATTCTACGGAGATATAAACAACTGGCTAACCTTTTGGAACAGTTTCGAGTCTGCCATTCATAAAAATGATTCATTAGATAAAATAGACAAATTTAATTATTTGAAAGCTCATTTAGGTGGTTCTGCTTTAAATACATTCGAAGGATTACCGATTACTGCTGCTATTAATACAGTCGAAGGATTTACGATTACTGCTGCTAATTACGATTCCGCAATTGATCTTCTAAAAAGATTTGCGAAAACAGATGTGCTCATTTACACTCACATAAATAACATTTTGAACACTAAACCGTTGAAAATCTCGAATGATGTTCGCGCCTTTAGAAAATTTTATGATAATATTTCTATCGAATTAAGATGTTTAGAAAATTTGGGTCAGTCTCTCGAGAATTTATCAAGTGTGTTATGTCCAATAATTCTGAAATCACTTCCCCAAGATATTTTGCTTGAGATTAACAGAATGAGTAATGGAAGTGCATATTGTAATATTAAAAGCCTGTGCTTGATTATAGCTCAATGTTTAGATTCACGCGAAAGGGCGGAAGTCATAAATAAGAATTCAGAGCATTCGACAGCGAATAGTGGGCGCCGTCAGTCTGCGTATGCAGTCCAGAAAATAAACACTCGTCATTTCAGCGATGGAAAGAGCAATAAATTAGAAACGAAAGCTTCTTCTGCTTCTGATTTAGTGTCCACGGGTATTAAAGAAAAATTGATTAAGGCATGTGTTTTTTGCGGAGATTTTTCCCATTCAAGCCATAAATGTCCTATTGCCCAGAAACTAACTAATGACGAAAAGGTTGAAATACTACGCAAAAATGGCACTTGTTTTAGGTGTTTACAAAATAAGGGTCACATCAGCAAATTTTGTGATTCTAACATTTTTTGCTCCCATTGTCACTCTAAGCATTCTACGATTATGTGCAACAGAATTAATTCCGAGAGTAAAAAGGGAACGATCAAAACTGTCCAGGAAGTTGAAAATAAAGTACTTTCGAATCAAAGCAACCGTTCTGAAGTTTATTTACAAACTTTGGTCGTAGGGGTAGCTGGGAAAACCTTAAAGGGTTATTTAAGATTGCTAATAGACACCGGAAGTCAGAACACGTACATAAGTCAATATGCTGCTAAAACGTTGAAATTAGAAAAGATAGGAACTGAAAGAATTAAACATGGGTTATTTGGGGGTGTAGAAGTTTCGGAAGATCATAATCGTTATCAAATAGATTTAACTAGTTTGGATGGAAAGTACAGGTGTAAAATCGAAGCACTAGACCAGAGGAAAATTTGTTCGTCACTACCTAAGATCAAAGACGAAAAAATTAATTAAAGTAATGGAAAAAAGGGGAATCCTTATCAACGACAATCATGTGAATGGAAATCTCTGTCTGTTTCAAGAAAATCCGGAAGAGATTCATATGCTGTTAGGAGCGGACACCGCAGCACAATTGTTCACTGAAAGAATTGAACATTTTGCGGGGGATTACGTAGCCTTTGAGACCAAGTTAGGCTGGACTTTAATGGGCAAGATTAAAGAGAATGCGAATACGTCGAGTTCCCTGTCCGTTCTTTCTTTATCCTTACATGTTTCCGATACAAATTTGTCCAATCTTTGGCGTTTAGACACCTTGGGGATTTCAAGTCAGGAAAACAAAACGAAAAGTGCCTTGGAAGAAGAAACCCGAAAACATTTCTTAAAAAGTGTAAAACGAGATAGCTCCGGGAGATATGAAGTAACCTTACCCTTTATTTTAGATAAATCCGTCTTATCCAGTAACCGTACTGTGGCAGAAAGACACCTCGTCAAAACCGAAAGTAAACTAATTAACACACGCAGAAGAAAAGATTACGAAGAAATATTTGATGAGTGGGAAGCGAAGGACATTATTGAGGTAGTAACTGAGGAAAAGGAGGAAGGAGTGCACTACTTGTCACACAGACCTGTAATAAAAGAGTCTAGTGAAACTACAAAGATACGGCCTGTTTTCAATGCATCTGCACGTTCTAAGAATTCACCCTCTCTCAATGATTGTTGAGTAAAGGACCAAATTTAATAGAAATTATTCCACGTATATTGAATCGTTTTCGAAAATATCGCATAGGAGTGTCATCTGACATCGAAAAGGCCTTTTGTCAAATCAAAATAGCAGAAAAGGATAGAGATTTTTTAAGGTTTCTATGGTTCGATAATCAACATAAGTTTAAAATTTACAGACATAACCGAGTTGTTTTTGGACTCACATCAAGTCCGTTTCTGCTAGCCGCTACACTTAGTCACCTTTTGACTACAGTCCCAGAAAAAGTTTGTAGAAACTTCTAATATTTTGAAAGGATTCATTTTACCTCGATAATTCGTTAATTAGCTTAAATCACGTAGATGAAGCCGAAAATTTCGTTCAAGAAGCAAGATTGATTTTGGCTTCAGGGCATTTCAATTTGAGATGTTGGCGATCAAATTTTCGCATTGACATGATCGATGAGATAGAGAGAGCAAGACGAAAGTTGTCCCAGTATTAGGATTAGTATGGGATTTAGAAAAAGATAGTTTGAGTTGCAAGATCGAAGAAACATTTAACTTGAGGGAACCTATTACCAAAAGAAAAGTTTTGTCAATTACCCAGAAAATTTTTGATCCCATTGGCTTTACTGCACCGATAACTGTAATTCCTAAGCTAATTTTGCAAGAAACATGGAACCAGAAGATTAAGTGGGATGAAGATCTTCCTCTTCCCCTAAGTGAGCAGTTTGGGACTTGGTTGAACCAATTGCCTCTGCTATCTCAGATTGAAATTCCTCGTTGGTTAAATATTGATTACGAAAACGAAGATACCGTAGTGCTCCACGTTTTTTCGGATGCTAGTAAAAGAGCCTATGCCACATGTGCATTTTTAAGAGCTGAAACCATCGAAGGTGTAAAGGTTCAGTTAGTAAGCGCGAGAAGTCGAATAGCCCCTATTAAGGAACTTACGATTCCACGGCTTGAACTTCTTTCCTGTCTGATAGGTGCCAGGCTTGCCAAAACAATTCTATCAGATTTGAAACTTAAGAATTGTAGAACAGTGTTCTGGAGTGATTCTTCTACAGCTTTGGGGTGGATAAGAAGGGATCAAGCATGGGGTACGTTTGTTCACAATCGAGTACAAGAAATAAGATCGCTTACCAGAATATCTGACTGGAGGCATGTACCTGGAAGTTTAAACCCAGCGGATCTCCCATCGAGAGGATGTACTATTGAGCAATTACAGAAATCGGCATGGTGGGAGGGCCCATCGTGGCTTTACTTACCAGAAGACGAGTGGCCCCATGTAGAAGAAAAGCCTGATGAAGAACTTATAAACAAGGAAAAAAGGAAAACGATTCTGACTCTTCTAGATCATGGAGACAATTTGGACCGGTACTACAAATACTTCTCTTCATATAGAAAAACCGTGAGAATGATCGCTTGGATTTTCAGGTTTTATCACAATTTAAAGAACAAAGATAAAAACCTCACTCCTGATGTCTCAGTTGATGAATTGGAGAATGCTGAAAAGGCACTTTGTAGATTGGTACAGAAAGAATCATTTACAGGCATAAACGATCCCGCCATTCGTGCGCTGAGACCAATCGTAGACCAAAATGGAATTTTAAGAGCCAAAACGAACGTCCTACAGCGTCAAGATAATGAAAATTTCCGATATCCTATCATTTTACCTTCAAAACATATTCTTGTTGAGAGACTAATTTACGAGAAACATCTAGAACTCCAGCATGCTGGTGTCAGCACTTTAATGACAAATCTTAGAGAAAACTTTTGGATATTAAAATCCAGAAAAAGTATTCGAAATATTATCAGAAAATGTGTAAGATGTAAAAGATTTGTTTCACAAAGAGTGGAAGTCGAGCCAGGATTTCCACCCGAAGATCGAGTCAGAGAAGGGGCGACTTTTGAAGTCGTCGGTGTAGATCTAGCGGGTCCTCTCTATCTCCGTGAGGGGTCTAAAGCGTGGATAGTCTTGTATACATGTGCCATTTATAGAGCCATTCACCTCGAACTAGTTACTTCTCTATCTACAGAAACTTTCATCCAATCTTTACGTAGATTCATTGCCAGAAGAGGTAGACCTTATGTGATATATTCCGACAACGGAACTAATTTTGTAGGGACTAACAGTGTTCTTAAGAAAGTTAATTGGAACGCCATATGTTCAGCTGCTTCTATCCAAAGGATACGATGGAAGTTCAACCCTCCGACCGCCGCCTGGTGGGGAGGTTGGTGGGAGAGGCTTGTGCGAATGGTGAAAGAAAATTTAAGAAGAGTGTTAGGTCGAACGTCCTTAAATTATGAAGAATTATATACTATATTATGTGACTGTGAACAAGTGATTAATTCGCGACCTATCACATACGTATCAGAGGATAATCAAGATCCATCACCACTGACCCCTATGATGTTTCCTGCAAGAATTGCCGTCATCAGGAGTTCCTGATATGGACTACGTAGATTCCAAAGAACTAAACCGTCGAGCCAAATACCGACAGAGAATAAGACATGATCTACGAAACAGATTTCGTAATGAATATCTTGGTCAGTTGAGACAACAGGCAATAAAGAAGGGAAAATTTCAACAGTTGCAAGTAGGCGATGTCGTTCTATTGGAAGACAGCCAGAGAGACGACGCATACATTGGCCTTTAGCCAAGATAGTCGAGCTTTTCCCCAGTAAAGACGGAATAGTTAGACTAGCGAGGGTCAAGACAAGAAATGGAATTCTGCTTCGTCCAGTGCCCCGGCTTTTCCCGTTGGAGATCTCTACTTCCGAATCCGTTGGCCCTCCGTTCCCCGACAGAGCACCTCGAGATAGAAACGACCATGCAACTGGTCAGGCTGATCAGGCTGCTAGTATTCCAGAACCTGCCTCAAGTCCTCGAGTGATGACCAGAGCTGGACGAGTTGTTCGGCCTCCTCATCGACTGGACCTGTGTGTATTGAGTTCCTCCGCATCGTCGGATCTCAATGGTGGGAGGTGATGTTACATCTAAACTCCGAACTATCAGCGCCTCCACATCTAAACTCCGAACTATCAGCAGCACCATTACATCTAAACTCGAGAATAATCCTACGGTAAGAACGTAGTTAGAACTCTGAATCCGAACTCGATTGACTGTTAGCTGGAGAGCGCGTAATTTCATGTAATCTAATAATTGTATATAACTGTATCTAAATATAATATCTTTATTTATACAGAAGTGTCAGTTTTTATGCAAAAGCTTGGAATTGTTTAGATATTTCATCGAATAAGAATTAGAATGGAACAAGCTCGGCTCCCGGGTGAAAGAAAAGGTAAGAGATTTGTTTTTACCGTTTAGAATTCTATTGAGAGATACAACAAAAAAAAAAAATTTATAGAAGGTTTTAACTTATCTTTGATTTCGATGCTTGAAACTCCGTCGTTTTTGCAAAATTGATCCCAAGTTAGAGGTTTCATGGATGTCAATCTTCTCCTTATTGATCTCCGAGTGTCGCTTTTTCTTTTGCGTCCTCTACATGCTGGCCTCTTGCGGAGTAATCGTCTGGTTGTTGGCCTTTGCGTTTCTGCCTGGGACGGCTGGTCTTGACGTCCTCCGGTCTGGAGTCCTTCTTGAATTTCTTCTGTTCCTCGTATTTTTGTGCCTCCTGTTGGCGTTTCAGTTTCCGGAACGGCGGCCTTGCTGGCACCTGACTCTGTGGCCGTGTGCGCGTTCTCCTTGATGTGTAATTTCTCCTGCCATCCTTTGTAGGTGGTGTTTTTCTCTTTACCACGGTTTCTTTACCCGGTTCATCTGTATTTTTGTTTTTCTTAAACGCCGGAGTTTGAAAATCATTTTTTCTTTTTGATACCGACGTCCGGGTTGTAGAAGTGCTAGGTCTCTCTTCAGTTCTCCGTTTCTTGGGTGGTGGAATAGTTGTTGCAGTCTCTGGCCCTTCTATTTCGTTTAGACTTGAGTCCTGCAAGAAACTTTTAAGGATTTCAAAATCATTTGGATTATAGTATTTTTTCACCTGGTCGGGACTTGCTTTACAGATTTCCCCTCTCTCGTTCTTAAGATATAATACTACTCCTTTGATTTCCTGAATTACATAGGGGCCTTCAAACTTTGGAGCTAGCTTTGCCATAAAATTGTCTGGGGCACTTGATAAAGAAAATTTCCGCTTCAATACTTTATCCCCAACTTTAAAATCTGCTTCACGGCGTTTTTCTATCATAATATAATTTTCTGCCTATTTCTTGCCGTATCCGAGGTTTTAAGCGCCTGATCAATCAACTTTTGCACATCTTTTTGTTTAAACTCCTGCTCTCTTTGTTGCACAAAGAATAATTTATCTAAAGGCGTAATTAACTTTCTGCCTAAAAAATAATTCTGCTGGAGTTTTTCCCGTAGTATCATGATGTGCCGTTCTTAAAGCATAAGCTAATTCATTTATGTAGCCATCCCAGCGCTTGTGATGTGTGCTAACGTAACTGCGAATTATTTTTACAATGTTTTTATTAACTCTTTCTGCTATGTTAGCCTGTGGTCTATACGGAACCATTTTGATATGGCGTATGCCAAGTCCATTGCATATGTTTTCAAATATTTGACTAATGAATTGTTTTCCGTTATCGCTAATGACTTTTATCGGTGCACCGTATTTTAAAATGTATCTGTGTAAGAATGCATCTGCGACTGTTTTGGCTGACGCGCGTTTAAGTGGAACAATTTCTATCCATTTTGAAAAATGATCTACTATTACTAAAAGAAAACGATTTTTATTTAACTCGCTCTGGGGGAAGGGACCAAGGAAGATCTATGCCTAAAATTTCATTCGGAAATGTAGCGCGAATGCTATTTAAGTACCCGGCCGGGCTGTAATTAATATCATTTATTAACTGACATTGATTGCAGGACCTGACATACGCCGTTACTATTTTGTATAATTGCGGGAAATATACCGCCTCGCGTACCCTTTTTAAAGTCTTTCTGACCCCGAGGTGGCCCGCTGTTTTTTTTTCGTGCAACTCCTTCAAAATGCTTAATCGAAGCGAGGCTGGGATGACTGGCTTATACTCAAGATTTTCGTTTGTTGTTTTCGTATAGAATAATAAATTATCTATTATTTCATAGTTTTTTGCTCTATTTCTTATCGCATCGATATCTGTATGCTCAAAGCTTTCGGGGTCTTTCAAATAAGCATAGATATTTCCAAATTCAGGATCAGCTTTCAGTTCAGTAATAACCGTATCTCTAGAATCTAAAATTTTTGAAGTCAAACACAGCGCATTTAAGTTCATTCCTTCATCGTCCAGTTTTATACGAGAAAGTGCGTCAGCTACATTGTTTTCCTTACCCGGTTTATATTTTATTGTGATATTATATTCTTGGAGTTTTAAAGCCCATCTTATTAACCTGGGCGTTAGGTTTTTTCCCGAGTAAAGTCTACCAACAGCCGCATGATCCGAAAAGACTGTTACTGGCGATTTGCCGAAATAAACTCGAAATTTGTGTACAGCCATTAATACGGCTAATGTTTCTCTTTCTGTAGCTGTATAATTCCTTTGTGTCTGATTCAATGTTTTACTAAAAAATGCCAGCGGATGGTTATTTTGCA